CCCTCCTCCACCTCTGCCTTGCTCCCAAGTCCTTCCAGGCTGGTGTCCACAGCCATATGGACTTCTTGGGGTCAGTGGGGTCAGAATTCACCCCACAGAATAATTCCCAGGGGTTATTCCAGATGAAATCAATCCATCCATGAACGACCAACAAGCCCAGCCTGAATCCCGCTGCTTGGTGATAAATTAACTTTGCCTTTTTCCTGCTTCCCACCTCAATCTCCCCCCCTTTCCCTTCAAATATTCCTATTTCCCATCCCAAGCCTTGGAAGGTGCCTCTAAGGAGCCCCTTTGGCTCCATAAGCTCTTAAGCAGCTCGGGCCGTGCCCACGTCACGGCAGCCACTGCGGAGGGGAGCGGGACAGATTTTCAGGAGCTCATCTCCCACCAGGATGCTCCAAGGCTCGGGCAGACGTTGGATTATAAGGGGGTTCATTATCCTCCTCCAGTTATAGCAACACCTAATCCAGGGATGACGCTTTTGACAGGTGGGGATGAGGGGCTGCATCCATCCATCCCTCCTGACACTAAGGCGCTTCCAGCGGCTCCGGAGTCATCCAGACTCATCCCCCTCATCCACAGGGGATGCCACCCCAGGTTTAGCTTCCTTCTGGTGAGGTCATCAAGCATCTTGAGGATGGAACATCTCCCTCACCTTCCTGTGGAGATAACAAACCCCCTCGGGGGTCTCCGGTGGCACCGGAGTGATCCCGGCAGGGCCAACCAGGAAGGATCATATCCAAGGCCCCCTCATCCCTGGGGATGGTGGCTTTGGGGCACGGCAGCAGCCCAGCAGCTCCCGGTTTTTTTTTTTTCCTTTGGAGCAGCACCTGACTTGGCGTTTTTGCATCTGTGCCCTAACGAGGCAGTGATTAATTGAGCCGGGGCCACGCTGGGATCTCGGGAAAGAGAAAAGCGGCACATCCCGAACACGGCCCCGACCACCCCGGAGCGGGGCCGGGCTCTCTCCTCTCCCCTCCTCTCCCCTCCTCTCCCCCCTCCTCCCTTTTCCACTCTGCCTTCTCTCTCCTCCGGAATTAATCTCCATTGCTCCAAAGGTCTCTCTCGCACACCCTGCTGACCCGAGCTCAAATTGATTTTTTTTTTCCCCTTACCCCTCACCCCTCTCTGGTTTTCCTGCCGGCAAAGGCATGGAGAGGATTTTGTTTTGATTTTTATTTTTATTTTGATTTTTATTTTTGCCCGGTATTATTTTTATTTTTATATTATTATTATTATTATTATTATTATTATTATTATTATTATTAATAATAATAATAATAATAATAATAATAATAATAATATTGGACGGCTTAAACTTTAATGCTCTGGGGAAAAAAAAAAAACAAACCAACAATAATTTAGAAGTGAAAATGAATTATTTCAATGCAGGAAAGTGGGGAAGGAGCCTGAGGGTGAGGGGGGTCTTCTTATTGCTGTTTAAGGGGTGAGGTTGTCGAGGCAGCTGCCGGGGTTTCCTTTTTCTCTTCTTGTCCAAGTTCAGCAGGTTAAGGCCACCTATTTCTTCTCTTTTTCACACAGATTGGGGCAACAGGGGCTTGGAGATGTTTTGGTGGCCCCGGGTTTGGCAAAGCCTTTAAATCAGAAAGGAATTGTTTACTCAGAGAGTGGGGAGGGACTGGCACAGGTTGCCCGGAAAGGTTTTGGATGATCCATGTCTGGAAGTGTTCAAGGCCGGGTTGGATGGGGCTTGGAGCAACCTGGGATAGTGGAAGGTGTCCCTTCCAACCCAAACCATTCCCTGATTCTGTGCTTCACCCTCTTTGGTGGATGTGAGATGATGACAACTGGATTTTGGGCGCCATGCCCTGAATTATCATGATGCTGTCGGGAAAGGGATTCCTCTCTTCCCTAATTTCCACTTCCCGTTAGCAAAGAGGGCTTTTCCAAGGAGATCATCAGCCTGGGAGCTGGGAATCTTGTGCCAGCCCTGGAGTTCCCTGGGAGATGAATCTGCCAGGACCAGGCACCGTCTGCGATCCCGGTGCCGGTCGGTTCATCATCCCAGTGGATCTTGTCTCTTCCCACATCCCTCCTTAAGATCCCGCTTCCCTGGGGGTTCCTTGTCGTAGCAAAGAGCAAAAGAAGTGACCAGAGATGCTCAGAATTTGCCATTCCAATCCTCCTGCTGACAAAAATGGGGCCACTTGGGCAAGAACCTGCTTTGGAGGAAGTTTTTCCACCCTCTGGAGAGAACCGGCAGTGGGAATGTTTCCCGAAGGAGAAACCTCCAAATTCCCATGTCTTTGTGACAAAGACATTTCAAATTTTCTGTAAAAGAATGAATCTGTGTGTTAATGTGCAGCAGGATGGTGGGATGAGAGCTGGTCCGTTTCCGTATCCCAACATTCCCCCTCGGAGAGGAGAATTCCCCGGCACAGGCAGCGAAGGAAAAGGAAACATAATTAGTGTCCTTGTTCAATAAATTAGGGATTAATTAGACAAAGAGGATGTTTGTGGTGTTTGAGAGAATCCCTAGTGTGTTCCTACAGCACTGACCAACAAATCCTTCATTATCCTTGGATTCTTTCTGCCTGCTAGGGACGGGTGGATTTAGGGAATGGGAGGAAGGAGGAAAATCAAGGGGTGACTCTGATCCACCAGTCTCCACCTTGGGGTTGAAGCACCAGGGGCTGCCTCAACCCCAAATGCCTCCAGGTTGGATTCAAGGATCTCAGAGGTCTTTTCCAACCTAATTAATCCTGTGATCCTGAGTTTTGCCTTCCGGGAAGTCGGAGAGGGATGGAGAGAGGGATGGATGGGGCAGGTCAGGTCACCGGGCTCAGCTTCTCGTGGCTTGGACACTAGGAGAGGCATCAAGGCTGGACTTGCCCCACAGGGATCTTCCCATGACTTCCCATCTCCGTGGGATCCCATGGAGCACAGGGGCTACTGGATCCTCCTCTCTCCTCCTCCTCCTCCCACTCTGGAGTTGGAAATTCTGCCGGAACAAGTCTCACGGAGAAGCATCTGGGAGGTTTAATCCTGCACTGGATAAAACATTCAAACATCCCATTTCCCGTGGTGGGGTCTCTTCCCTTTGTGCACAACATTCCCAAGGCTGCTCCTGGCCATGAGATGGGA